TATTTTTAACTAGAAGAATCTGCAACTTAACTCTCAGGGCTTTCGCTTGTGGAAATGGTCAGGTTTGGCCAAAGATAAGCATAGCAATAAATGCGACCTAATGTTTCTCATATTTAGGCGAATTGTTCGGATATCATAGTCTGACAAAGATTAGAAGTACAGATTTCTATACACCACCAATCAACATACCTTATAACTTTTTCTTATCGACACAACTACGATTAAGAGAAGCCAAATATAAATATTTTTTTTAATTGAGTCATAGAGCATGGAGTAGACTCTGACGCTTGAAACGTCAGACGGAATTTATACTGTCCCAGTTCACTCTTGATTTCGTGACTAACGAACTGAATTCTAATTGCTTTTTTTTATGTGGTGTTATATTCAACTCTTCTCTACAATCTTGGAGCCCTTAGACTGAACCGGAACTGAACAAAAATCATCAAATGCTTGGCACAGATCAAGTTAGCTTAAAGATCTTTAAGTGGTCAGGTTACGTCAAGTTTTGCGTTTAAAGTCTTAAAGTGAAACAGAGGCAGAAAAAATCGATATAGAATTTCTATGCTTGATTTTATTTGTTAAGTGTTTTCTACCCTACCGCCTCTGTAAAAGCTCAGAGCTTTTCGCCTTTAATTTGCTATGGACAAAATTATTTAATGAAATGATGCTGTAATAATAATCGCGCATTTCGAATATACCGTCGATAAATGCGTCGCGATTCCAAAAAGGCCTGCATGTAAAGCCGCAGCCGTAGATGTACTTGGTTGCTCACAAACGGAAACATATAGCTCCGTCAGCCCGGCGATAACCGCCATCTACTTTCTACACGGGCAAGATGTGATTGGTTAATCCTTCCTACTCTCTATCTAGAGTGTAGGCATTTTCTTTCAATGATTTCGTAATTACATGACATGACACGACTTTTCCTACTCTCTATCTTGAGTGTAAGCGTGTTCTTTTAATAATTTCGTAATTACATGACAAGACAGACTTTTACAACTACATGACTCTAGATCACAGCGTTCCAGATCACAGCATTTACATGAATCGGCCCATAGCTGCAACACACCCAGTTCATGGTTGATAAAGATTTCGTCAACATTAAGAGGCAACGGTTAAATCATTTTCAACGAAGCTTTGCGTGTACGCTAGATAGCTCTACTACTACAATAGTCTAATGGAAAACTAAGACGTTTGTCCACTAAATAATAACTGTATGTGGGAAAGGGACGCTTCAGTGATAATTCACATTGTCATGCAATATGCCCGCATGATAGACCACTGTAACACAGAGATTTCATTGCTAATATGCTATGACTTGAGATTTTTGTTTCCAGTGAGTATATTGCTCACATATAATCTGGTTACACACGCTTCCGAGAGCAGCATTTCATGGCAGTTGGATTCGAAAAGGCTTTAAGTTAGGAAAACAGGATACAAGAACTCCAGTATGTGCATCGATTATTTGGTTCGGGATGACTCTAAATACCTATGCCGTCTTGTTTGATGACCTAAGTAATCAGCAGAAATGTCTTGCCGTGAGCCATCAGTTCTTATTGATCGGTTTAGAATCTTTTCCTGTTCTAGATATCATCAGGGTACCAATTACATTACAGATGCTATTATTCGATGTTAATTACCTGCACATAGTTATGAAATATCTCCGCGTAAGGTAAAATGTTCATAGTTAACTGATATCAACACCTTAAGAGTAAGCTCGGTTATTTGAGACGAAATTTTTAAGTCCGTATTCTGTTTTCATTTCAACATTTTGGTCGTAATTCCGATGATGTCGCTAGAAACTCACGCCGCTGTCGTGAGGAATTTTCTCATCTCATCATTTATCGTTATTGTAGGTGATTTCAAAATTAATCATACCTGCATGACAGAAGATTAAACTTTATCTGTAAATTGTTACTGAATCACAGCTTACATTTGGAATATAACGTGCTTTTAGACATCTAGCCCACGGTGAGTATTATTATTTTGCTTGTGACTTCAAAATTTATCTAAGTTCAGATATATGGTAGAAAAATGGACTTTATTTTAACATTAATAGCATTTGGAATGTATTTTCCATTTTTAAACCCAGCCCCCGTAGCTAACGGTTTTCGCCGGGCTGACAGGGGTGTGTTTTTAGTAATCAGCAGCTATTGGCATCTCTGCTACCGGCTGTACAGGGTTTCAGAATTACTACACATTTATCGACACTTGGAAATCACTAAACGGTGAAATCATCGCTATAGAATAATTCTATCAAAATGGTTTGAGATTTGATTGTTATAGCGGAAGTAGAGTACAAAAGACTCGAAGAAAGAACTTATGCCTAAAATTCATTCTGAATCAGTATTTTTCACTTCTATTTCGCTAGTGCAATATTTGACGCAACTTGACCTTTTAAATATCTTTATTGGCAACGAAGAGACATTAAGCTTATGTGCGATTTGTGCCGAGCATTCATGGAGAATTCTGTGTCTTATTTCTAAATATTTGGTTCTTTTCATCATAGTTTTGCAGATAAGAGAAATTTTAATAGTCTGTTAATTGCGGTGTATCAAAATCTGAACCGCTAATTTTGTCAGACTAAGATATCCAAACAATTCGCCTAAATACGTGACTTGTTTCAGTTTTAGTATCAACTCAACCTTGCCATTGCTAGTTGGTAAAGGTCTGATAAGAAGCTTCATTTCATCGATAAGAGTCAAGAAGAGAACGTGGGCGAGGTGGAGTCTAAAATAATTTTTTTTATCGTGTATTTCTCCAGTTTGAACGAGCCCCACATAAAGTTCAATAGATCGAAACGAGAACGTCATCATTAGAAATCAGAATTGATGACCAAATTATCAAGAGAGTCGACAAGACCAAATCTTTGGGTCTTACTATAGATGCCCAACTCTCTTGGGGTAGCCACATTGAAGAGATTTGCAAGAAAGTCTCTTCAGCTATAGGCGCCCTAAAACGTGTACGGCCCTTTATATCCAAAGAAACTGCAATTCAAATTTATAACGCTTTGATTATGCCCCATTTTGATTACTGCAGCCCCGTCTGGGACTGTTTAAGTGGCTACTTGAGCGATAAGCTCCAAAAATTACAGAATCGAGCAGCCAGAATTATTACTAAATTACCCTTTGATACGAGCTTAAACCACCTTCTCTCCACCCTCGATTGGGAGAGGCTATCTCTTCGACGAGAGAAACAAAAAGCCATAATGATGTATAAAATTATAAACAACCTTGCTCCCGAATATCTGCAAAGTCTTTTCTCTCAGCATCACTCTGTGTACGACACAAGAAACTCTGAGGGAAGGCTGGCCTTGTCCAAACCAAACACCAATTATTTGAAACGAAGCTTCTCTTACAGCGGGGCCATGTTATGGAATAAATTGCCCAAAAACTTAAAGAATGCTTCATCCATTAACCATTTTAGGCGAAATCTTAACGTAGTCGATATATAGGATTCCCACACGGCAATCATGTAAAGCAGTTGATTAATCTTAGTTTTTATTATGTAACTGATGATTTTCCGTGTTTAAATAAAGATTTACATACATACATACATACATACATACATACATACATACATACATACATACATACATACATACATACATACATACATACATACATACATAC